GTGTGTGTGTGTGTGTGTGTGTGTGTGTGTGTGTGTGTGTGTGTGTGTGTGTGTGTGTGTGTGTGTGCGTGTGTACACTGTCACCACAACAGCCCCTGTTCCACCCGGATGAGTAGACCCAAAATGAAAGCAGCTTTATGTCTATTGCAGACAACGAAGTACACTAACGATGAGCCATGATGTGTGTGAAACACATTTGAGTAGCCCCCAGCATGGTAAGAGACCACACACCATATCGAGTAGCCCCCAGCATGGTAAAAGACCACACACAATACCATCACAACTTCACAACCCTTCGGGAGGAGAATATGCATCTGAGTCAGTCAAATCTGGTGAGAGGGCAGACTACACAGAAGCACACAAGGCAGGGAAAAGAGAACGACCAGCAGACAAGTGACAGGGAAAGGAGAACGGCCAGCAGACGAGAAAAGTACAAGCACCAAAAAATAGAAAAGGGAGGCTGAACATTATGGACCATATGGAAAAGAAGATGTCAGATGACAATAGGAAGGGGGCAAATGCACAGACCGGAGGCCAAGAAAGTTCTACACAACCTGTTGGAAACAGATATCACGGCACAATGGCAAAGGGCAAGAAGGCAAGCCCAACAAAACCCGGACAAAGCCCGGGAGACGTTCAAAACATTTTAACGGGTTACGCTGGTTAAGGGTAAGATAGCAACAATCGAAGGATCCAGAGTAGTCTTTCATTGGTTTGAGAATACGGAGCAATGTGAACAAGAATAATGCGTCAGATTCTCTGAGATACTGCATCAAAATCATGGCAGCATTACAGCTGAGGGTTTAGGGTTCAGGGTTTAAGGTTTAGGCAAGAACAATGCAAATAGGGTTTGGGGTGTCGGAGATTTCGGTAGGGGTCCCAGGCGACTCTAGTTAGAACCCAATTACTGAGAGGAGTCCAACTGGGATCACAGGGATGAAGAAGCTCAGGCTTTCTTAAGCAGGGGTGAAGGATGGTACATCCTTCCTTATGGAAGTAATCAGTGCCGTCTACTCGGGCCTCTGAGCCTTAATGGGGAGGAGCGTGCGTGAGTTTCTTATGTATATATTATTGACTTGCAGGGGGAAAGGAACCGGACTGTTGCTCCCCAGAATGGTAGGAGCCAGAACCTAAAGGTTCTGTTATATATAAAAAAAGAAAAAGAAAAAAAAGAAAAAAAAGAAAAGGGAGGCTGAACCCTCAACAATCTGCAGAATCCCCACATTGATGCTTTGGGTCATGAACGCTTCGACCCTTGTTGAAAGCAGACTGCCAGCAGGCAGCGCCACAAGCGGAACATAGCAGCAGGCAACAACTCAGCAAAGCACCAGGGAATGCTACTGGGACAACCTAACTGCACAACGTCAAAGCTAACTGCAGGGAACGACAGCGCAAGTGGATGGGCAGCATGGCAACAACACAGTGAAGCACAAGGCGACACTGCCAAACAGCCAAACCACACGGCACACAAGCAGACTGCACAGCAAGACAAGGTACATGGATGTGCAGCAAGGCAACAGCGCAGTGAAATACAAGGCAGCACCAGCAACGCAGCCAAACTACACGGCAACACAGCAGCTGCATAGAGCAGCATTGAGAGCAAGTGAGATTGGCAGGAAGGCAGAAGTGGAGCATAGCAGTCCACGCATCCAACACGGAGTAAAGCAGTTTGTCACCTACTCACACCACTTGCAAACCCCGCAGACTGTTGAGTCCCACCACCTGCTGAGCCAGGGAGTCACTCTGACAAATGCCGGTCATCACCCGTAGGAAACACAGACATCCCGAACTGAGTGGCCCAGGTGCCCCCCCGGATAGTGCTGCGCTCCAAACGAGGGATGACCGACTACTTTGCACTGCTCAGAGGTGCTCTGTTAGACACACACAGTTAAAAAAAAGTTAAAAAAACGGGAAAGAGGACAACAAAACCAGTGAAAAAGACATACAAACAAACCGGAAGAACAATGCACGTAACTGATTGTGTGTGTGTGTGTGTGTGTGTGTGTGTGTGTGTGTGCGTGTGTGTGTGTGTGGCATGGATGGAAATGGAACAGGTGAAAGTGGCAGTTGACCTCGTGGATGGGGACAGCGCAGTGTCGCTCAGTGCCGTTCAAAGCTTGACGGTGAACTATGTTGTGAAGTTCGTTCCAAAGCATTCGCTGTCTTCTGCGCAGAATGCAGCAGAGCTGTTGAAGAAGCTGATTGCCAATGACCCACAATCGATCTTTTCCGGCAACCCATACTTCGATGACAAGGGGAATGTGACAGTAACGCGGAATGAGATGACGTCACCAGGCTCAGGCAGTCAGAATGGACTTTTGCCAAACAGTATTCCAAAAAAGATTCTGGGAATCAAGACTGTGTATTTTGCCCTCGTGGTCGGGTTAGTATTGTCCAGTTTAATTTCCCTTTTGTGTTGTTGCACATGCTTTGGGGGAAAGGGAAAGCGTGATAAGTACTATCACCGTCAGAATCTTGGATACCCTGGAATGCGACCGTATCCGTCCTCAGCACCTCCTGCTCGCACTGTTTATGCTTCATGAATGCTGAACTTCGACTTGACTATGTTAATCACTGTTCTTTCTTGGATGTGGCAGCGTTTTTGAATGCCACATGTAATCACACAGCATGCCGGTTTGGTATTTGCACTACCTTGGTTGATTTTAACCTCTGAGAAAACTAAGTGATCAATCTGCCAAACCTCGTTCAGGCTGAAGCATTCAGTTGTTCTTTTGCCCCCACACCTTCTTTCGATATCTGGACTGTCATTTTGACAGTTACAGTCTCTTCCTCCTCCGCCTTTTCTATCTAAAAATCTTCCACTTTCGTCTGCAGTAGACCTCTAGGCAGTAGCTTTCCGAAGTCACATTTAATTGTACATTCTGTATATCACCGCCCTCCCGTCTGTCTGTCTGAGTCAATCTGTCTGTCTGAGTCAATCTGTCTGTCTGCCTGCCTGCCTGCCTGCCTGCCTGCCTGCCTGCCTGCCTGCCTGTGTGTCTGTCTGTCCTCTGTGCTCTCTCTCTCTCTCTCTCTCTCTCTCTCTCTCTCTCTCTCTCTCTCTCTCTCTCTCTCTCTCTCTCTCTCTCTCTTGCGCGCACGTATGCACACACAGACACAATGCTGCCATCTGCCTACATACAAAGCACACAATACAGACAATCTTATCATCTGTTTACAGCAATGTATTTCGGAACACGCAACGAAGTTGCCTTGACTGGCTTCCCTCTGATGATTCACAAACGTAACAGAATGAACTTGGCATTGCTTGTAAAAGTAATGGCGATCATTTGAATGCATACAAACACACAAACACAAGTGCAAACACACACAGATACAGCTCCTCAGTCATTCTGTCGGTAGGCGTGTGCAGGCACAGACACACCCGTTTGGACACGCAAACACACATTTCGAGATTATGCAAGACACACCCGACAGTCTCGCAATGTCTGTTCAGCTTGTCTATTGTTTCCTATTTTTTCTCTGCCTTTTGCATCGCTCCCAATGTTGAGAAGCAGGCGTGCAACACCGTCATATGTTCGCAGGCACTTTTTCAGGAGCTGTGTCGTCCAACTGATGTTATTATGAGTCAGCACTTCGTTGTGTACTGAATCTGCTTATTGTTCCTTCGTCCAGAGTCCAGACTGAACTGAACCTGCAATGCTCAGATTTCCCCGTGCATTTTACTCGTCTTGAACCTAATTCTGCCACTTACATAATTTTCATTTATATATGCAGTATTATGCAGAGCGATTACTCGAAACTTTGTGCTGCATGGCCAGACTGCTTGCTTCTTCAAGTTTCCCAGCTGAAATGCCAAACTGCTCATTCCTTCAACAGACATTTAAAGTCATCCTCTCGTTCCTCGCAAGGAGTCTTGACTGTCAATCACCTCAAAGTTCTTATGCCACTGTCATTTCATGCAGTGTTTCCGCCTCTCCCTACTAACTTGATTTCTCGTCTCTTCTGTATGCTGAGTTATATCACATCCCACCCCTTCAGCGCTCCCTTCTGCAGAGCATCGAGCTGTGTAGAGTGTGTGAGTTGTGACTTGCCCTACTCTTCAATCAGGTCAGTACAGTTCTGAAGTCCATCACCTGACTGAACCGTAACCTGCAAGTATCCTTTTATTGATAGGCAGTGGCAGGTTCTTCTTTCCCAGAAGCACTGACAAGTGATTGCTGTGCTTTTTTGGTTTTCCACTTATCCACCCTTGCCATTGTTTGGCCTCCTAGTGTGCACTTTTCAGATCGTGTGACCCTTTCTTTTGCTTCTCCTCTCGTTCCTTGTCTTAGGTTTGCGGAAGGGGGTTGTTTTGAGGCTTCTGCTCGGTCTGGTGTCCAGGCCCACTCTGCCAGATCAAATTCCAAGTCTTGGATCGCCGTATCTATTCTGAAGATTGTTTTTAGCCATGAGCCCAGCACTCTGACTTTCGGAGTACCAAAGGGTTTAGGACTGTTCTTTCCACCTCCTTATTCATGATAGATGGAAGGCCTTGCGTGGAGGGGATAATTGGGAAGGAGGTAAACACTGCCAGAGCATCCGACCCTTGCTGTTTATGGAAGAATTGATAGGCCCTTGTGGGGGTTAAATCCTGCACCCTCACTCCCCATTCACCGGATTTCCAAGTTGAGACTTCGCTTAACAACTCCTTCCAGCCTTCTGGGATGCCGTTGACAATAGATTGCAAGTTCTCATCTGTTCGGCGACATCCTTTGAGCTGGGAGGCAAGTTCCTGGTCCGTCATCCAGTCCTTTTTCTCCTCGTTCCACAGATGGCTCACTTTCCAAACTCCATGTTTGATCCATGATAACCATCTCCTTCCTCTAGGCTTAAGGGATAGTTGGTGAAGTGATCACTGTCATCTCTCGCCCACGGATTACCAAACAAGGGTTGCCTCAGTACCTCTTCTTTGGATTTGGATTTGGGTCTACCCACTTTCCTTGGCACGACTTCCCGCCATATCCCTAACAATAGAGTCCAATATGGTGTAGGTGGTCTGGCTTCATTTGGCTCGGTTCCTCTTTCGTTGATTTCTGTGCCCTGTTCTTAGACAATCTTCGACTTCGTGAGGAATTCCTATGCGACCTTCAGCCAAAAGTCGTGTGCGTTGGAACTCTGCACAACAGTTTTTTTTTTTCTTTTTCTTTTTTTTTTTTGCGCTGGGGCTGCTCGGAACGCTGCTGGGGGGTCATGCCCGGCCAGACACCCGGGCGTGTATCCGGGCACAAGTTGGGTGCCTGGACGCCTGGAAAAACACCTTAGTTGTATATAGCTTCAAGTTTCGATAGAGTGGCAGAAGGTATGTCACCCAGAGTGCTAGAGCGTCTCTTTTTTTTTTTTTCTTTTTTTCTCTTTACTTTTTTTTTTTGAAAGGGCGATTGGCTTAAGATACCATCTTTGAAGTTTGAACTGACCAGCCCCAGGTAAATACTAAATTCAGAGTTATTTTCACTCATCAGATTGCATTGGAATTCAGACTCGGGTCTGCATTTCAACAGTTCATAGCTGTACCAACTGAGCTAGGCCAGTTGGTTCTTGTGTTTTCCTTTTCCCCAACTAATCCCTGGAAGCTATGTGACATATATATATATACTGTGTTTGTCACAGCCCCTCGTTTGTTGTCCTCTTCTCCCCCTCTGCCTACGGTTTACCGGGCAGTTCTATTGGACGATATATACTGTGTTGTTGGTTTTCCTCTTTACTTGTTCTTTTTTTTAATAATGCATGCTCCACTACAGCTCTATAGGCTATCACAGGTCACAGGTTATCCTCAAATAATAGCAGGTCGCAATAATAAGTTTCCACCCCCCCCCCCCCGCGCCCCCCCCCCCAACCCCTCCTTTAATGATCCTTCTGCTCGCAGGTAGGTAGGTTGGACCACTCGTTTACTGCAGAGTTCTATTCCCAAAACGATTTTCCTTGAACCGGCCTTCCACGATTGAGTGCCCATTACCGGATGCATTCAAAAATGAACTCTGGGAGAATCCCACAGCCTATAAAAATTGTGTTTGAACTTCGAATTTGTTGGGAAAGCTTCCTCTTTTCAGTTATTTGCTTGGCCTATTGTGAGATATGACATGCCAGCAGCTGTGTGATCCAGTCCTGCAATCCAGCCAGCCACAGGTTACGCTACAGCCAGATCATGAGCCTGATCACTCCAGAGCGTCGAAGTACGGCAATATGTAATGAACACTTTTTTGTGTTGGAGCTCATGTCAGTACTTTTCTTGAGAACATTGGCTTCTTCCACTCCTTTGCACACTCCTGTTGTTATCTGAGAGAGAAAGGGAAAGTAAGACAACCCAGACTGTTGCAAGGAGAGGGGGAGGGAGTGCAATAAATACATGTATTATCCGATCGGTTTTGCCTGGATTTCTCCCCGGCATGACTTTGGACAGGTCCGAGTACTTCTCCTGGACTTTGTTCTAAAGAGTGCGGTTTTCGCTGATGGTCTGAATCACTGAATGATGATTCTTGGGCTTTGGGGAAGTGCGACAACCAAGACTGTTGTGCGGAGAGAGGGAGGGGCTGGAAAACATGTATGATCCAGTTTGGCCCGGATTTCTCCCGCCGAGTCCCCAGCATGTGCTCCGTGATGGTCATTCTGATCTTTGTGTTATTTTGAACAGCAACGGCCCCATCTATTTTTGGGGGGAAGCTATCCGGTTGCTTATCCCCCCGGCACGCATGTACAAATTTGCTCTGGACCAGTGTGAGCACCTGCCCCAGACACTGTTCTGAAGAGCACAGGTGTCTCTGAGGGTCTGAATGATGTTGGTTGATTTTTCGGTAGCATTTTGAAACCTTCCATGCATCACTAATAGCTGCAGGGAGCCAGCTCCCTGATGCCTGAATGTGCAATGCTAAGGGATGTTGGAGTGAGAGAGGATTTGTCTACGTCGAGAGGAGGGTTGTTGTAGTTGGATGGTTCTTTCTGTCGTTACATGCTACTGAGAGCTGCAGTGATAAGATTTGCCTACGTGACGGTGATACATGTATTATGGCATATATAGATTGAAACTTTCTAGGATGGAGGAGCCACTCCAGTGAATAAAACATTGGCCATACATGTGCCCCAGTTGCTTTCCAGAGAGCTTGAGGTCTGCTCATAAACTCGGTGACAACGTGCGAATTGGCCGCGGCGGGAGAGTGATTCCTCCGGTATGTGCTTGAAATGGTAAAATCCAATTAAGTGCTCTGATGTACAGTAAAATACTAAAATGTGACTTTGAAAAACAAGCAGCAGGTTGTTCTGGTGAAAAACCGCCTTCATTGTCTATGATTGTTTATGCCCGCTTGCAAGACTGAGATGGGCGTTCATAAATAATAAACGGTGTGTGTTACAGCTTTCCTGACCTGCATGAACCTTTGTCGTTGTATTTTCCGTCTTTTCCGCCGGACAGAATTCGTTCCTACTACGAGTGCCATGATTCATTCATCTTTTTTTTTGGTACTAGGTTCATGATTCATTCGTCTTTTTCGTGCTAAGTTCATATGGCAGTTTGGATGTGACCATAAGCAGTTCTGTGTACCTGGTGGAAGGTGATGATTGCGGCTCGGTGCAGGTTTTTCACCATTACCACCAAGTGATGAATTTGATGGTTGTAACGTGAAAAGTACTTCACTTAAAAAGAACTGTTGTTTGCTTGCAAATAGTAAAGCCGCGGACGGGGGGCACATGTACCTGGTGCAGTCGAGATGAACGAGGGGGGCTGAAATGCTGCATGTGTGATCAGAATGTACGAGTGTGTAAACCGGAACTGATGACGTACTACAGCTGTCTGTGTGCCGGAGAGAACTCTGAGTGAATCGGTAACCGAACGAGAGTGAACCGCTGTTCGGTTGCTCCATTTTGCACGCATGGCGCGCAATCTGCGAGAACACCTAGACTGTTCGAGCACAGGTACACACAGGCCCAGTTACGCACTCTCCACACTATGGCTGTTGTTCCGTGCCGTATGCTCTACTTCAGTAGGGAAATGTCTGGCAAGATGCGCGTTTACGCAACCACTGTGGAACATACACCCGGATGCACAAAATATACACTCTGCTTAGCAGTTAAACACCTGGCAAGATGCGCGTTTACGCAACCACTGGTCTAAGCAGCTCACTTTTGGCATCCCATCATCGCTTGTTTGTTTCTGTGGAGGAGGGCTTTGCTTACAATGTGTGTGATTCCAATCACCCTACCTGTTTGCGTTCCTAGCATGGTGCAGCCATATAACTTGTGAAGTTGTGATGCAGGCCAGTGGTGCTCCATTTGTGACAATGATTGCTATTGACTGCAAGTCGGGGATATGGTGCTCTTTCGTAGCCTGCAACCAAGCCTTTCCTGTCCTCCTAGTTCTTTTTCTTCTTGTTTCCATCTCCCTTTCTTCCTTTCTTTCCTTTCCTTCCCTTCCTTGCCCTTCGCTACCTCCCCCCTTCTCTCGTCCTAGGGCCTGACCGGAAATATATAGCTTGTATACGTTACTTATCAGGGTCCGTTGAGCTTGGGGAAAGACGCGCCCGTGCTCTCTCTCTCTCTCTCTCTCTCTCTCTCTCTCTCTCTCTCTCTCTCTCTCTCTCTCTCTCTCTCTCTCT